TCGTTTTTCAGTGCCGTGCGTGGGGCGTTTGAAATATGGATCACGACCCACAAACAGTGACACCTCACGTCGTTCTCTTCAATCTTGTTCTGAATCATGGGTAAACTTAAACATGGTCGTTTTTCGCTGAGTTATCATGGCCGGCGAACAGCCGCCAGTAAAAACGGTCTGAATCACCAATGATGAAGAGGTGGTCAACTACCCAAAATAGAATAGCATATAATAGACTGGTAATATTCTATAATTGATTTTACAAGTATTTACCTCCTTTTAGGTGAGTGGAAGATTATATTTTATATTCACTTCTCATAATTGTACGGGGAGTTGTATAAGATATTTCTAGGACTGATGCATTAGGGATTGGACCTTTGGCTTCAGTTTCAAAAGTTCTATCTTTATCGATTTTCTTATACATAGTGGGCAAGAAAAATATATCAGAGAACACCGTAATCCATTAAATCCTCCAACTTTTTTATTTTAAATGAAAATCATTAAAATGTGCCGAGCATACTGAAATAATTACAGTGAATGAACTTTACAGCGTAAGGCGCGGTCGTCACGTACGATTTAAAAAATTCAAATTTTTTTCTTGACAATGAAATTCAATTCGGATGCGAATGTCGAAATTTTGCTGTTAATTTCCAACTTCGCATGAGAGGAATCCCAAGTATTGCAAAGTACATAAACACGAATAAGTAACGTAGATTTTTACGTTAACAAGTTTAATTGGTTAAAATCGGTTGTAAAAGCAGCATTTAAGGTGGAACTTTCAAGTCTAATAGTTATATTTTTTCGATTAGCAAGAGAGGGCGACAGTTTTCATAAAAAATTGTTTGGATTATAAACTACAGGACCGACTTGCTTATAGTTTTTAGACTTATAATTACATTTGTTCATTACCGTTCTTTAATTTTAAAAGAAGAGCTAAAGAACGAAGGTATCGGGTTCAGCGGCCCGGCAGAGTCAATCAGCGGATTGTTCGGAAGCTTCTCATCTGCTATGATTGATTGCTGGTTATTGGCAGCCCAGGCAATCTAGTGGGATTGCTGCCCCGCAATTCCGTGATTGCATGAACGTGATTGCTCTCTGCGAGATTGCGAATGATGAGACCTCAGAGTCTTCGTGATGTATTCTATGGCATTTTCATTAATGGCATTTCCATCAATCATTTAGAGAACCAATACACCGTAATGGGAAGCTGCAATCACTACACTTGAGCTGCACGGAGACTTTGCTATTGAAATTTGAAACGCTGTAATTCTTTATTGCAAATTGAATTTTAATAAATCAAGTTTTTTATCCGCTATCAAATTGGTGCTTAATTTTGCAATATTCATTAGAATTGGGGTTCATAAATAGTCAATTACTCGGAGAAAAAATTTTGGTAAAAAATTAATTTTACTCATTTAAAAAAAGACAGAAAATTCGTATTTAGTTAGAATGGCGGTATGAAATATTTTTAAGAATAGAACTGCTCTTGGACATACTCGCCCTCATTTCTTTGAGTGCGTACACGCGGCGCTCTAGTCTACATAGAGGCTCGTGAGCGCCATGCGCTCTGTATGGTTGCGTCGTGCGCCGCCACAGCATACACAGTTTGGGTATTTGTATATTTGTATCTTTGTGTGAATGGTCTTTGTGTATGTTTGTACTTTTGGCGTACAGAATTTCTTTTTGAACTGTGTTTGTTCTGTGTGCTTAAATTCCCACTTTTTATGTTGCTGTACGTGTAAGATTTATGTAGTGTTTGAATGCTTCAGAATGCACAAATTTTAATACGCAATGCATCTTTGTGTACCGGAAGTACAAATTTGATATAATTTCAATGTATCCTGAGGTTTCGAGTAATTAATTGTTGCTCAAAAATCTCGGCTTCATTAAAGAAAATGCTGGCAATGAATATTGTGACTAATGAGTACGGGTTTAAAGAATCGCACTACAATAAAAAAATGTAAAATATTTTTCACGCTTCCGTTCGTATGACTTGGAGTCGGCAGGAAAATTTCCCATTTGCATTTAGATGAAGCCGCTTCGTAAACAGACGTCGTATTCTCATTCCCTGCATTCTCAAATGTTTACGAGGCGAGCGGAAGTTCTACGACGTTCGTTACTTTAAGTTTTACGTCACCAATTGACAGGCTTGGTTTGCAACTTGTGTGATGATTGGTGACATTTTTAGCCATGACGCTTGTGCGAATATATATATGAATTTATTACTCAATATATAAAACCATACTTTATTATCTTCGGGTTTTATGTTACTATACCATATGTAAAGGACTTTCTAGTTGGCTAGTCCTTTGGGAACGTTTAGCGAACTATTCATAGACGCGCCATCATAGCAGGATAAAAAACGAGTATTCCATGATGTACGGTTTCTAGAAAGGAAATGACAAATATACATAAGAAATATATACAAGACAAAATATACGCTAATTACATGAAATATATGAACCAAGATAAAGCCATAATTCAACAGGATAATCAATAATTCACGAAAACAAGCGATAAATCGAACGAACCGACTAGCTTGGTTCCTCCGGTAGTGCAGGCATCCGTATATCAAGGGCTAACAATGAAGGCTAATGACGCTAGTGAAATCAACTGCGTCGAGTAGGCTAATTCTATAGCTACAAGTTTCAGAAAAAGGGAAAATGGCGGCTACACCATAAATCTTCTTCCCTTGTTTGACACTCGTTATCTTCTCTCGTGTCTTGATTAACTAATCCCATGGATCAAGTATGGCTTGATGAAGCCCTAGTGCAGAATTAACTACTTATCCATAATTAATTCTGAATTAACAAGCCTGCAAAATGATCTTGTTACAAGTGTCAAGAGAACTCATTTCAAGTGGGGCCAAATGACTGGCGTAGAAGTAACGCGTGTCTCTATTGAACGCAGGTTTTTGTTTTTACATTTCCGGTCTGACGTTGCCAGACAGTTTAAATAAACTACTACCATGTTTAAATGAAACGTGGTCTAAAAGGTTTAATATCTACATATGGAGCCCCGCTATTTTTTTCTGGCCACCGATGTTTCTACCATAATACACATGAAGGCAGCGCCAAACTCCGGCAAGTGAAGGCTCTAATGCGTGAATTAGTGCGGCTGTCTGCACTATGTCACTGCGCGACACGCCTGCGAACCTCTTGCTTGTGCACGAATCTCATACGCATTCGTGCTCCACTAATCATTATTCCTCTGTATAAATTATAGATGTATTATCAGCGGACAATGATCGGCGCTTGGTAGGTCATACAAAAGGCGCCCATGATTTTCATTTAGGGTCGTGCGACAGCGCGGAACTGAAAGGGAAATATGGGAGAAGGTACAGTGCCGGTACTGGCTTAACCTTGTAACAAAATTCTATTGATTTGTGCCCACAACTTTCACTTTTTGAGGGCTAAATTTGGACAAAATAAGTCACTAAATTGCTTTAAATTATTCAAGAATTGAACAGTATGCTTAATGTGACTGCTCTTTGGTCAAATGTGGCAATTTGTAGGCAAAGCAGATTCGCGTGTGTCATCCCTCTAAAGTTTGCGTGCCCGTACGATGATTAAGAATTTTCCGGCGTAAGAAGATTAATTGCCCTATATTTTTAGGTGCTGTCGGGGATAAATCATTATTTAATCTGGCAATTCAAAGCTGTATGATTCGGCAATTGCATTTTTTATACGCGCAACCGAACATACAAATGTATTTGTCGCGTGTTTTAGAACACGTAGAGCCTTGAGTGTCGTTTTTGTTTCTGTGAATGAGTAAAGCGGATTAGCCTGAACGTGACTGTGATTTGTGAAGAAGATACGCGGAGCAGAGATGGCAGAACCTCAGAGGCGTATTATGGTCGGCCACCTTTAATTTTGGCATAGTCTTGGTGGTGTGTAGCTTCTACGACTCTTCTTTTATAATTAATATACGTTTTTCTCTGCTGCGTAAGCTTGTGTTTTGACTCGAAAAGGTTCGGGAGCTCCTAGTTAAAAGTCAAACGAATCTACGTAGATACCTGCCGTGCTGTTAGATATAATTCAACTCGCTTGAATTTATTAGAGCTTTGCAATGTAATTCACAAGCGTACTGGCAGTATTAACGTTTTTTTCCTTGATTCATTTATATCAATAATATTTATTACTATTATCATCATTCTATATTGTTTCACAGCCTTCATCACCTGAATATTATCAGTATCGGCAATATCATTAACCTTAGCTACTATTCACAATAAATAAAATAATGTTATTATAAATGTTACTTATAAACTCTATTACACTATGTCTAATTTATCAGTAAGTAATTGACAATAATGATGATACATAACATAGAATGACGAATTTAAAGTTCGATGCTGATATCATCCTTTTTAATTTGGTCAACATTTTCACGATTTAGCATCTTTACCGTTGATTGGAATCACCAATCTACGATAGGTAAATATTATATAATTGGCTTTTAAAAAGCTTCTATTGACAATCTATTATTCCCTTCTATAAGTTATTTCAAATAAATGTAATGAAATATTTGTTGTTTCAACAGAACTCCTCTTGTTAGACTCTATTGATTGACAACTTAATTAAATGCATCGGTCGTTGAGAATTTTCCGTTATTATATTAGGCTTTATTTATGAAATATAATATAATTATGTCATATATTATTTATAATTAAATAATAATATAGTTATTTATAATTAGATTTATTAATATTTCATTAACATCGCGAAAGCCTCTCATTATAGATGGTTTCCATTCATTTTGATCTTCCTTTAACATAACAGTGGATAAAACTGTCACGTTTACCAATATGAACGGTGATGTAGCGTCAATTTCCCATGTGTTATAAAATCATTATTCAAATGATACTCATTTACATACACATATACATATATTTAAAACAACCGTGCTGCCTATCAGACGACAGGTCAGGAAACATAAAACGTTTTTATCTTTTTTTGTAATATTAGTTTTGAATGCCTACGATTAATAAATATTTTTTCTCGCTTCAGATCGGATGAATCAAAACAAACGGACTCTGAAAAATCAGCCTCTAAATCCGTCTGCCTTCTCTACGGGTGAGTTCTTCAGTTCACTCTTATTTTCATTTAAAAACAATAAATATTTCCTATGACAAAATATATAATATTTCCTCCCACAAAGAATATTTGTGCTGGGTAATCAAAATTAGAATATTCATGTGAAGGCATCTTCTGCTTGATTTTTTATTAAATAATTGTATAGAAGTCATTTCAGTTCATCATTTCATCTTCATAAATCAGGTGAGAGTTAATAATCAAGAACAAATTTGATGCATAATGTTCAGTGTTTATTTTGAAAAGATACGGATTCTATGAATACATTTGGTGTTGATTAATCAACTCCTGGTGCAGCAATCACATTAAATATAACTCAGTACTCACTGCAGTGAGTGACAGAGAGCGCATTTTCTCGTCGATGAAAACGTGAAGTTACGGACGGACAGACAGACGGACGGACAGACGGACATGGCGAGCACAATAGTGCATTTTTTCCATAAATGAGAAAATGCGTTAAAAAGGCTGGTATATAAAAGCAAGTACAAATAACAACTTATTTAAGTACTGTTTTGAAATTCGACGGAATTTTAACAGCTGTTGTTCGATGACAATGTATTTTAATAATTTTTTAATAAGTTGAGGATAAAATTGCCAGTTCGACTTGTTTAAAAGCTTGTTAAAATTGCCAGTGCCCGAGAGAAGTATCCTGGATACGCTTCCCAACTGCCCCTTTTTTTCTATGGCATCAGTCTTCATATACACGAACGAATATAATAACTTTCTAAAATACTTTCGATTTAATATCAGTTCATTAGCAAGCATAGTTAAAGAATGTGTCTCGTTTGTGCGCGCAACGACAGAATATATGTACTTCGATAACGCGCATAGTGAAGTAATATGCTCTGCATGAATAACTTGACGAATTTCTTTATAGTGAATTTTTCAATTCGCTGAGTGCGCGAAATTCTAATTTCCTGGCGCATGAAGACCGTGTTTTGTCCAGGCTTGTGCTGACGCTGGTGGCCGAATTATCTTCATATGTACATAGGGACACGCCCTGCCCTACGCACGCCATATGTCTCGGCCCTAGGGACTATCATCCAGACAAATGATATAAAACAACGCCAGATTAATGACTCTTAATAACATCATCCACTTAAATGATACACGACATGAAAGATACGCGTTTCAATCAAACAAAAAACTATGCTTGACAATGCCAAGATATTAATTCGTGAAATTAACATACTAACAAATTATATATACACGACAATGCCAAGATAATACCTAATATTTATCTGATCCACACAAATGTATACGACCTCGTATTTTTATCATCCACACATATGATATCCTGGTTAATACATTTGCATTTCCTCTTGTAGCGCAAAACTGGAAGATCTTGAATTTTTATAGCAAGAAATGCTGTAACGCTGCACTGAATATGATTCAATTCATTATCACGCAGCATATTTTTGTGTTTGATTCACCCGAATTAGAATGAATGCAGAAATTGTGATCACTCCAGTTCACAAATTCAATGTCAACGATGCTCGATGGACAAGGTGGAGCCAGGATAACAAAGAGATAAGGAGGTCTATAATCCCATGTTATTTATTGTCTGCATTGTTTCCTATTCAATGTTTGTGATTAATAGAGACCAGTGTTCTCAAGGCTTCGGCCAGTCTAGAATAATTGTGTATTTCTGTCTATACAAAAGCTTGTGCCGAGCATCTGTGTCTGTGTGCCTGAATGTTCGTCTGCGGTTGTGTGAGGACTGGGTGTCTGTGTCCTATTGTGTGGTTGTGTATTGCCTGTGGGCCTGTGTGTCTGTATGCTTTTATTTGGTTGTGTGAGGCCTGGGTGTCTGTGTGTTTTATAAGTGCTCCTCTGTGTCACCGGTGCACATTGTTTCGTCCAAGCGTTTACCTGTTGTGTGTGTTAAATAAACAATATTATTGCGTTTGTATTCGATTTCGTTTAGCATATTTACCTGCATGTTGTTGTATGTCTGTATTCCGCTGCTGTGTGCCGCTGTGTATATCTGTTTGTTGTACGCTGAGCTGCTATGTGCCGCTGTGTATATCTGTTTGCTGTACGCTGAACTGCTGTGTGCCGCTGTGTATATCTGTTTGTTGTACGCTGACCTGCTGTGTGCCGCCGTGTATATCTGTAGTGCAGCTTCTCGCCTTTTAAGGCTGCGAAAATCAAACTCTATTAATCGAGCCCCCCCCCCCCCCCCAAAAAAAAAAAACATCACAGCGTCATACAAGGCTGGCGACGCAGGCTTAATTGCCACCGGTCGCTTAAATGTCGCGCCTGCCGAACATTAGCGCAAAATTATGGACGAATCAAGGTCGGCCACGACAAGCATCTAAACAATAGTCTATTATGCATCTATGATTTTTTCATATATGATTTTAGAATGGTAGTATTTTTAATAGTTATTATGTCTACAAATCACGGATAACAGGTTAGTGGGGGATGGGGTTTTAGATGCCAGGTTATATGATTATTTTTCTGCTAGATTTATGATTTTTAAATGTTCGAGATGCGCTTTGCTACATCTGATGATCGATATCAAAATTATCATAAAAATCACAGTATTATCACCAAAAGCAAGTAAAAACGTATCTTGCTAATTTTTATTTACTTTTGAACCATTAAACGCCGTAGGTGTGATTTTTACTAAAAAAGTTATTAGAGAACTTGAATTTTTTTGAACGGCTGACGACTGTCCCCGCCAGCCGTCGTCCCCGGCGTCTTCCACCGTCCCCGCCATCCCTCATTGGCGACAGGGATGAGTGGTGGGACTGGTTGCGGGATGGGTGGCCGGGACGGGTGGTGGGACGGGTGGTGGGACGGGTGGTGGGATGTACAACATAACTTGCATAACATAACATCTACAACATAGCATGTACAACATAACTTGCATAACATAACATCTACAACATAGCATGTACAACATACATTTGCAGGGAGATGTGTGCAAAATAAACTCCACATCATAGCATGTATAACATAACATGTGTAGAAAAATATTTACAACATAAATAGTGAGGTAGAATAGTAATAATGTTGAGGTTACTATTATCATAAAGTCTACTATTATCTCAAAGTATAAAAATTAATCTACAGTACAAGTTGCTTACGTTCAAAGAACACTTGAACATTTTCTAGTTCTCCATTTCTAATTTTTAGTTCTTAGTTCTCTCTCGAATATCCTCGATCACTGTGACCAATTCTCAAGTCAAAGCTTCCGTCATGCCACGAACAATAGAACCATTTATTACGAACGGTCAGCTGCACAGATTCGTATCGACGATAAGTCCGGTACCTTCAACTCATGGTTCCGCGGCCACTATCGACATCAATGGTTAAGAAGTAATCGGTCATATCGAATATCCTTTTTGGGGGGAGTGTGTCCGAAAAAAACACACTGCTAAAATATCCTTGTGAGTGTGTCCGAAACACACTCCCAAAATATCCATTAGGACGAGTATGTCCGAAACAAGGACATATTTCTGTCGGTCGATGGTAACACGTCGATGATTTTTGACATGGGACATCGAGGGTTTCTGTCCGTATGGTTTGCGTGTGACAGGGTCTGGCCCCATGACATATATTGAAGCCAATCAATTTCTGATCCACACGTTGCCAAGTGAAAGGAAAGTTACGATCAGGTGATTCGGGACCGACGATCGTGTCGAGGGTCGGCACTTGCCCTCTTGACCTTTTTAATTGCAGTACTCCTAATTTTTTTCTTTTTAATTAGAATCGTTTATTTTCCCAATCTGTGGCTAATGTAATAAACTATGCCCACAAATGATTTTTATGAGTTAAAGTTGTATGAATATTGTGCTATTTTCTTAGAATTTTGCACTGAATTGTCTTTAGTTGCACCAAGTGCAGAAACTTTGTAAGAAGCTTTTGATTGCATTTAATCGCCTCTGCTGTACGTCCCCTCAATTCATCACAAATCTGTACCATATGCATCTTTATTCACATACAGCTCCTGCATTATCTAACATTCTAACTCAATAGAAAAGCATTCACTCTGTTAATTTCCTGCCAAACTCTTATCACAGGTGTCGGTTCAACCCTTCACTTAACACTCGTTAGCGAAGAGATATTACAGATACGAATCGGAGTCATATCTCGTCGGCCATTGGCTAGCCTCCAATAAACAGCTTGTAACTTTTAATGAGGTAAATGCATGGTGGCCACAGATCTCAGCATAGCTATATCGTTTTGAGCATCTTGCAAAAGTCTGGCAGCTATTGCTCCTTGAGGTCATTTATCTTTCTCAGTGACAGAGGGAACAAAGGTTTGTTGGTTCACCGCGTCGGGCAGACTTACGTAAAACTTTCGGTTCTGCAACCACCTCCACAGAACCGGTCCTTGTCTGCACATAATTTTCACCAGAAATAAAGTTTAGGAACAATCCGGAAACTCCCAACCATGCATCGATGAATGCATGTTTTTTTAAACTGTACATTGTCGTATCCCGTATTTCTGAATCTGTACTTATTATTGTTAAAAACTACCATCGGACAAGGAAATTGTAGATGTTTTACCTTTTGGAGAAAGGAGTGTCACGCTAGGCATTCGAGTTAAATAGAATGTTATATATGTTATATACGCTTCCAGCCACGAAACGTTGTTCACGACACTGCATGAGAACAAAAATATGGTAAATGCTCGGACAAAAATTATGATTAGTGTTGCTTTTAATATTATGTTAAAACTATTTTTATTATTTTGCCCATAATTATTTATAGTTCCTTATTATTTTTATTTTATTAATTATTGCTAAAAATGCTTATCCATAAGTGGTGGCATGCTCACAATGCAGAGGCTTACGTTACCTTAAAAAGAGAATAAGTAATCACCATTAACAAATAACCAATAATGTCAGTCATGCTAAGCTAGAAAAAATAAATTCTATACACGGACTCGCAGGAAGCATTCACATAACAATCAGTAACTTATTTTACAAACAATCACGGTCGTTGGAGATTGTGATAGCAACGCTTCAG